GCCATCGCTATTAGGTTGGAGGCTATCGCTGTTAGGTTGGAGTCCATTGGAGTCCATCCCTACTAGGGTGGGGGCCATCGCTGTTAGGTTGGAGGCCATCGCCGTCGCTATTAGGTTGCAGACTATCGCTATTAGGTCGGAGGTCATCACTACAAATTAGGGTGGAGGCCATCGCTGTAGGTGTAATCTTCGTTAAAATTGAATCGCAATATCGGTTCATCTGCGAAAGTTAGACCTTAGAAACACGTCACTCTAACCCCCCACCCACCCCGCAACACCACACAGTCCCACGTTAGAAACCCTATAAAAAGACGCGTGATAAGAATCGCCGTTTGTCTCGTCTATGGCGAGATTCACTTTGTTTTGCGAATCTCAACGGTCGGCCCGAGGGAACTAGGAGAACTGTGCCGATGGAGAACAAACAAACAGTACACAAACTAGATGGTTCTGCTGGCTCAAACACAAAGGGATTTCGGCCAACGCCAATTTCCCGGCCTGAGAGGCTTTCGTGTGTTCCCCCACGGCTCAACCTCACAGCAACAACGGCCCGCCCCAGAGACCCCCAACGATGTCAGGAAGGGATGGAGAAACGATACCTAATGGCCTGCTTGTTATGAGCGTGTGGGCGCGCCTGTTTAACTCGGAATGGTGAGCTCAAGAGTTCGTTGGACCAGTTCGGTCGTCTTCAGTTCACCCAGTTCGGCGTCTTTTGTTGGCCAAAGATCTGCAATTCCCAAAGGCATGACTCGCAATGTCCATGAAGTGGCAATTGGCCATGAAGTACTGTGACACTGTGACAGGAGTTGCAAGAAGTCTGCATCGGGACTCACTGTGCCATCGCGCAGGTTGTCGATGAGGCCCCTAGGTGTCATGAATCATCACAGCCTATCAAATATGACTCTGACAGTACTCTTTGGTTTATCGGTTGATTCTCGCCTCTTTGTTGAGGTGCAAGATCATCCAGTGGTGCCTGTCTGGCCTCATGGTTACACAACAACGATGGAGGCCATCGATTCTAGCACGAGACTGGTCGACTGGTCTTTCCCGCCTGGTTGTCCTTCCGGGATATAAAAACACCTGTATCTGGGACAGCCATCCTCGTCGGTCTCGTATATCGCGTAGACCCACTCCTTTTTACCTCGGTAGAACGACGCGGCATCACCCAGGCAGGAACAGCGTTCGTTCGGACTGAGTTTGCAGCTCTTGATGGCAGAATTCGTTCCGCTCCGGATGATCTGGGGCGGCACAGGCGGAGCAGGCGGAGTGGCAACTGCCTCCTGTGCCAGCAAAGGTCCCTCTGGGCTGTTGTCAGCAGCACGACAGTGGAAATGAACGCACCTGCGTATCATCACCAACACGTCTCCGCTTGGCATCGGCATCGGCATCGGCATTGTCGGCATAGGGATTTTGAAACATCCCGTCTCGTCCGTGCCTCCTGTGGCTATCAGTGTGGAATGTTAAATGATGGTCTTGTTCGTGAGAGTACTTGTTCAGCAACGCATGAAATCCATGCGGTGACTTGCTGTTCTTGAGCAACACTGTGCTTACAAACCAAATCGACAAAACAAAAAAACGTGTCTGACCAGACTTGAGATGCCGTGCGTTGTTTCCGTGGTTCCGGCGATACTGTTGCATGATACTAAAGCAAGGAGAACTCAGGTAGCTCAACTGAGAATACACGCACCGATTTTGAATGTCCAACATGAATGAACGCACCCCAGTGTCTCTTGCTCGCGCCACAGTGCTCCAATGCTCTTTTTGTTTTCGCAGCAAAATGTCAGTCATACTTTGTAGAATTTCACAGGTCAGGGTTTATAGTTATTATGTTTGAAAAAGATTTATAGGTTTTTTGAAAAGACACCAAAAAACAAAACCTACAATCCCGCAGAAAGATACCAGCAAGGTGAATCCAGAAGTTTGGACTCAGGAAACATTGTACAAATACTAGGAACTTGCAGGAAAATGCAAACATACATACCAATCAAGCAAACCCTGGGCTCAACAAACTGCGCATGGTGCACGGCCATCTGTGAGTCTGTGTGAGCCAGCTTGTCTCTTTTTTCTCCTGTGACTAGCGACTTCTGCCTTCAGTCTATCATCAGCTCCGTGGCTTTGTTGGGTGACAAACGCTTCGCTCATTTGTTCTCCATTGGCGTGTTTGTTTGTTCTCAACGAATCTATGTCATGTTGAATCTTTCGTCTATGTGCAGTGTCTTTCCATGCTTTTCCTTTCTGTCTTCGTCGGGGGGCTGTCCTCGCTGAGCACACCCAGTGTGAGCAGATCTTCGCCAGCAGCAGCCAACACACAATGTCGGCCTTCTGGCAGAGCAGATGCCCAAGCCTGCGACAGCAAACGCCTTCGACAGGAACATGGCAGCTCTGCAGCTCTGCTTTGGATGTTCCGCAGCTCTGCAGTTGGATGTTAGGGCTATCCTCTGGGACAAAGAAAAGAAACTAGTAGTAACAAAAAGCTAGTAGGAACAAGTGCCTTACTAGTAGTAACAGGTGCCTTACTAGTAGTAACAAGGACGCTAGTAGGAACACCTGAAAGGCCCAGCAGGTGACGCGACGTGACGCGACGTGCTGCGTTCTTCAAGGCCTTTGCTTCTTCAACGTCTGACGCATTGAAGCTCTTCACTTCGATTTCAGGGCCTTCAGGACCTTCGTCGCAAAGCCAGTTCTGGTGCAATTGTTTTGAATATAGTGTATTTTGTTTATTTGTGTATTTTGCATTTTTTCTTTAGGTGTTGGTTCGCCTCCTTTCATTCTTTTGATCTTGTGTTTGCTTTTTGTTCTCCTTCTTTCCTTTCTTCAGACTTTCCTTTCTATGTTTGCTTTCAAGCCTGGCATTGAAGCTTCAGATAAAAGGACCCTGGATCTCTTAACTCCTCGAGCTGACTCTAGCTGGTTGTGGTTTCCGCAAGCTGTTCTTGGATTCCGGCCTAGCACTGCCACATGGACACCAGAGGAACAAATGTTCAACAGGACTTGGCTGCCAAAGCTCAGCAGGACCTGCACGAGTGAAGTTGAAAAAAACTACCTACTTGGCCAAACATGCGAGGATGATATCTGCGAATGAGAACGTTTGGGCGTGAGTTCGATGGGATGTTTTATGCGATGGAAACACCGTATGACGGTTGATTGTCCAATCGCACGCTGAAGTCAGCGCTCAAAGCTGCGCAGTCTGTTCTTTTGCTGTCGTCCGCCAAATACGACGCATTCTGAGAGTTGTTTCGGTGGAGATATATATCTCAAAATACTCACGTCTATGCTCATCCATAGGGATGAAATGTCAGGGAACCAACTTTGATAAGGACCCACTGCGTAGAGCAGGTAGGTCAAAAAGAAAGTGACACTATTCCAGCCGCATGTGGCTGCATGGCCATGCAGTCAGAGACTCACAGGCCAACCATTTGTTTCAAGCGACTCCTTGCTCTCCCTCCTCAACTGTGCACACCCGCTTGGATATCTTGTTTGACTATTCATCTATTCCAACAATCAGGAACAACCTACGAGTACTAGCGATGGCCTCCAATAGGAATGGCCTCCAACCTACTAGCGATGGCCTCCAACCTAGAAGACACAAATTGAATTTCAATCCGAAAGCCAAGGAATAGCAAGCCCAAGTCAGGTCACGAGAAAAGACTGTCTGAACTTAAAAGTCCTCGGATTGGATTGCATGGATCTCCGTCTTGATTGCCTGGAGACCCGGAGCATTCCTCGTGAACTTTCTCTTTGCGCCTTTAGAGCGACCAGCACCTGCAGATAGCATTCAAAAAAGTTTACCGTCTTCCGGTATTGCTCAAGCCTTCAAGAGCCTTAAAGGAGCATGGGTGGGATAAAGCGCTAATGGGATAAAGACAAAGAGGAAAGCACGCGGAAAGCGTGCCAAAAGCGCAAGCTGAGCGACATGTGCTGATCCAGAGTTGGACTTCAGCACTTGCATAGTTCCAGAGGCACTACCCGAGCTTGAAGGCAAGCTTATTGGGACATCTGAGAAGGAGAACAAGGTGAAGGCCAAGTCTCTCCCGTCTTTGTCCGAGTTTTCCGCGTCCTTCTGCAGGCGTTTGAAGAGAGCATTGAAGTGAGGCGGGAAGAGCTCGGTGACTGCCATGCCTAGGGCTTCTGTGAGACCAGCCGAGGTCCCAGCCACAATGCTGTTCCCCACATCAATGTCCAAGAACAGTTGCCGATATGAATTGGGGATGGCTGGGTTTGTGTTGCGAGTCGACTGACTCAGCATGCTCCCAGTTTCATGATGCTCCATAGACATCTCGGGACTCAAGGACGAATAGATCGAGGGGGTTCGGCCTCGGGCGGCGAGTATCTCTTGCGGCCTCTCGTCTTCAAATGATTCATCTGAAAACTCCCGCAGCCCCACCAAGAAATGCTGTTGTTTGTCTGACATCTCGTGCATCACCATGAGGACTTCCGTGGAGACATAGTTTCCAAAAGAGTTCAGCAAACGAGTGTGAAAGGCATTCACCAAGAGCTCTGATCCTGAATGCTCACGAAAACCATCCAAAAGTCCACGGGTCCGCTCGACCTGAGCTCAGGGGCGCCGATGTCTTCTGTTTTCCTTCTTTTCCACTTCTCAATCACACATTGTCGCACTGCACACTGATGACACTTGTGACATCTCAGGAATGTTCAACAAGTCTCAATCACTCTGCCTTTGCTATTAGGTTGGAGCTCTCGCTGTCCGGCCTCGACATCAGGCATTAGCTCCATGAGGCTTTTCCCCTCCAGAGTGTCCTCTTCAGCACGGGTGAGTAGTAGTATGGCCAGGAGCTACTAGTAGCTTCTTGCTCCTAGTAGCAATGTCAGGAGCCCCTACTAGCGTCCTTGCTCCTAGTAGGGATGCCCTTTGTTACTAGTAGCGTCCTTGCTCCTAGGGTAAGTGAATGAGCTGCTTCCTGGCGGCAGTACTATAGCCGTCGGAAACTTCCTCCAACACACCTCTTTGCTGAATCGCTTTAGAATTATTCCTGATATTTCTTTATATACATAGTTTCCGCATTGCAGTTTCGAAGGATTGGTGGTTTCTGAATGTGTTTTTTAGGTTTTCTTGTTCGATCTTAAACGTGACGTAGTTTCATCGATTTCCGCAGGACTGTTTGACCGGAAGCTCAACTATGTCAAAAACAGCTCCTCCTCCTCGCAGAGCATAGCAGCAAGGGGTGGCGAGGAATGCTCTAGGCAAAAGGTCTCGTCCGTTCGAACCACCGCATCGCACATGAAGCGCAACAACGCCGAGGCCGTGCCAAACTGCACCGCCGCATCGTCACGTTGAAGCTTCCAGGAAGCACACTGTGCCAAAATTGGTTGAAGTGCCACGCTAAGCAGCACTGTGAAACTGAAAATGAATGCCTCCACCCACAAGGCAGTGCTGCCCTCTGTGTGCCTCGCAGCCACAACGAAGAGAAAGAGTGAGTTGCCGAGAACTTGGGAAGAAATGCGCGTGCACATGAAAATCGTTGGAAGCCGGAAGACCAGCAGAATCATTGACATGTAGAAGATATCTTGGGAGCTGGTATGGCTCGGCAACAAATGTGATACGCCCAAAGCTATGATGGCAATGAACCATGAGTTGAGCAAGAACCTTGGTGTTGCAAAGCTTCTCAGGATCTTTGGCAGGGCGATGCAAACATTCAATAATGCACAGCCCAGGAAGATGGTCCAGCAGGATTCCGCAGACAACCACAGTTGTCGGTTGAAGGCAAGGCTTAGCTGTATATAGACCACAGCTCCAGTATGCAAGAAAGTAAGCAAGTTGACGGATTCTCGTGCCAGAACAAGTCGGACATCACAAATAGCATCGCACAACTCATCACCGCAAGATCTCCTTGCATTGTCTTGCAGTTGTGACACACGACAAAATAGACACCGGCGAATGGCACGATTTTGTGAAGACCTAACTTGATTAGCAGGACCTAGCCATTTGCTTCGAAAAGAACATGCCTGGGTTCCACGATGTTCCAAAAACACTCGGAAAGCATTCCGCAGCCAGACTCCCCAGGCCTGAGTTGGAGCCAATACCGCTGCAAAACCTTCTTGATCCAGGGCAATGCGTAGAGCACCCTCACGCAAAGAATCAGCTCCAGTCCTGGCTACGATCTAAGATCTACATTCAGAAACGAACACTGCCTTAAATTGTAACTTCAACCCAAAGTTGTTGGGTGCAAATTTCAGTGGCTAAAGACACTGTTGGGCAATACTCAACAATATATCATGATACCATCCCAAAATCACCTCAACAAACTGATGACCACACCTGAACAGCTGCACCCTAAGCGGAAACCCACAGAGCGAAATCCTCCAACTCAAAAGCCAGAAAGCTGTAAAACAATGTAAAGCACAATTGCCGTCTACGTACCAGCATAAGACAATTGCTGTCCAGTCTACGTCTGTCTACGGTTTCATACCTCATCACTCCACTGGATTCCCTTCGATTCTTTCCCGTTCGGTGTTTTCATGAATCAAATAAAGCTTTGCATGTTTTTTACTAGCTTCTTGTTACTACTAGTAAGGCACTTGTTACTACTAGCTTATAATACAATAAAGCAAGATTCCAATGGATGCTGCAAGGAATGGCCACCCTGGATCCAAGGCCATGATGTGTTTCACCTCATGCAACCATCTTTGAGCCGAGCAATGCGGACAAGTCCAATAGACAGATATCTCGGGGAAAGGCATGTCTGCTGTTCGCAGTTATCTGCTCCTCCATGCAAGTGCTCATGAAGGTAATTAGTAGTTAGTGCCTGTGGTTTGGGTATTATTGTGGAACTATATACATCCTGATGTCCTAAGAGGTGTTTCTCGTAAGCCCTGCTACTGGAATTCGGCGATAACTGTTGTTGAATGACAGCAGATCTTGGATGAAGATGATGAAGAAGAAAATGATGCGTTGAGACATGTTGAGACCTCTACAATCTTCCCCCGCCTCTGGCCCATCCAGCCTGCGCGGAAGAACTGCGGCAAGTGTGCATGTCTGGAAAGAGACAAAGCCTACTAGCAATGGCCTCCAACCCAAGAGCGATGGCCTCCAACCAAGTCGCTTATATCTCAGGTCTCACTTCAGTTGGTGAGTTCACTCCAAAGGAGACCTTTTCTTTCTTCCGATCTGATCCCATCTTTTGTCCCCTACTAGCAGCAAAGGGCATCGCTACTAGGAACAAGGACGCTTCTACGGGCTCCTGGCCTTGCTACTTGGAGCAAGGACGCTACTAGGGGCAAAGGGCATCGCTACTAGGAGCAAGGAAGCTCTTAGATGCTCCTGGCCTTACTACTAGGAACAAGAAGCTACTAGGGGCTCCTGGCATCGCTAGTAGGAGCAAGGACGCTTCTACGGGCTCCTGAATGCCCCCGGAAAGCCGGTGACGTCATGTGCCCACACCCCGCGCCAGCTGCAGAAAGAGCTCAAGCGCTTCGTGGGCTCAGCATTCACCCACCAGCCCTGACCTTGGAGAGCAAGCTAAGTGTTTCAGGTATTCTATTCGATTCTATCCTATTCTCCTTCCTCCTGTTTCGTCCGGTTGACACGTTTCTTCCTTGTTTTCTTCAATGTTCTCCTCAATAGCGTGAAAAAAGTGTTTGTACATTGCGTGCATGTTAAATGTCCATTGTAAGCGAACTTCTAGTCGGGTAGTAACTGTAGTTGAGTCTGGGGTGGGACCTAATCGGCCTTATTCTAGTGGGAAGGGGCAGTAAAGTAGAATGCATTTCTGCCGCTGGTAGTCTATATGCCTGCTATATGGGGGTACACAAGTTAAGTCCAAGATCAGAGTCGTTCCAGGTTCTGGTAAGCTGCCTTGCCGTACAAAATGTCCTCTCCCTTTGAATTCCCTCACACCAGATCAAGACCGCTTTGCAAATATCAAATTACCAAAGCACCAACCAAATATGAGCAAATCACCAACAAACGTGCCTCTGTGCACTCACCACTCACCACTTTACACGATGTCGTCGACACAATTTCTGAAACACTGGGAAAACAGCTCCATGTCCACTTGGAGGTCGGCGGAACCTGCATATGCTGGCAGAAATCTTAGAAACAACTTGGCATCCAAACTGAAAGGCGGCGTGACAACAAATTGTGGTTCATGTCTTCCTTTTCTTCTTGATATGTGTCCAAAAGCAATGGCCTCAAACCCACTAACGAGAAGCGATGGCCTCCAACCTAAGAGCGATGGCCTCCAACCTAAGAGCGATGGCCTCCAACCTAAGAGCGATGGCCTCCAACCTAAGAGCGATG